CAGATAATGGAGAATAAGATGGGAAAAACATTTATCAACATGCCCAGTCTCTCCAGCCAGCCAGAAAGAAAGAAGGTCTTTAATACAACCCTGGCAAGGGTCAAAATTACCTTTGATAAATCATTCATTCTCCTGGTTCCTGCGAGTTGTTCTTCCAGATCAGTGATGTTCTGGGTGAGGCTTACAGTGGATATTTTTCCCCTCTCAGAGCAGGATCACCCAGCTCTGGCAGACACAACCTGAGCTGGCTCCAGCAGCAGAGACAGAGTAAAAAGGTGCATGCACTGCAAGCCTCAGCCTGCAGGTTTCAGGAACAGGCAGGGACAGTGCAGGGACAAGCTGCAGTGGGGCAGGATGGGTCCACCCCACCCCTCACCAGAGGGAAGACTGATTTCTCTCTGTGTATCCAAGCAAGCCCAGAATGTTAAACAGCTTCTCTCCCTCCCATTTCTTCATCAATGTTTTCCTAAAAAAGCCAATTCTCTCTCATGTCAGCCTTCCTTACACTGTTGTCCCAAGGCTCTGTGTGTACCTCAGCCAAAAACTCCTGAGAGCACATGAAGGCACAGGATTAGATTTCAGCAAGCAATGAACTGAGATTGTGACCAAGATGCTCCACTTTGTGCAATACACAGTGCTGGATAAGTGATTTAAAACCAGTCCCAAACTACAGCACATATCACAACTGTGCCATTTAGGTAATGCCATGCTCTGCTTTTATGACCCTTCCCTCCACAGTAACCTGGTGCCCAAGCTAAAGAAATGACCCAGATGATGAGAAAATGAATTTCAGGGTAAGTAGATAGGAAAAGAAATAAAGAGGGAAATATGTATATGTAGCCTGGAAGCTGATCAGCAAACTTCCAACCTTTTTTCCAGTGTGCCTAAGGGTCCCAAATGTTTATTTTGGGAGAGGAAAAAAAAAAAAAAAGGGAAAAAAAAAACAAAAACAAAAACAAACCAACACAAACACAACCAGGCAAAGCCAGAGAGCAATGAGCAAGGAAAACCAATTTCCTTGTGTCCTTCCTCTCCCTGTCTGTCACATTCCCAGCAAGCAGAGCTTGGCCCAGGAGATGCTGCTGTGAGGAAGGAGCTCAGGCAATACCAGACTGATTCAGCGCTCGGTGCCTCACACAGAAGCACTGGGCAAACATCACCTGCATTCACTGGGAGAGAGGGGACTCAGAGGTGACCAAGGGAAAACATAACTCTGAAGAGAATTCATGAGATGATATGAAAATGTTTAGGGCTATGTCAAATGTGGGAAGCAGGTGGCATAAATGAAAAAGCTCAGGAAAGGTCAGGCTGTGGAGCAATTGAGTGAGGATCTCTCCGTGCAGGGAAGAACTGATCTGAAACACTCTTGCCAGAGGCAGCAGGGAAGAAAAATCAAATAAATAGTTTTGAAGGAATTGGAGAATGGAATTCATCTCATTTTAAGCATCTAGAAATGAAGTGTGTAACCAGGGCCTGTCATCCAGGCTCACTCAACAGTAAAGAGAGAGAAACACATTTTAGAGGGCAAGTAATCCTGGCTACCTGTGAAAATGCCTGTTAGCATGGATAGGGCAACTGGCTCAGGGATGGGGTGAGGAAAATCCCAACCTTAATCACTGCAGAGCTCCTGAGAAGGTGACAAACATTTGCCAACATGAATTTAATGACGTGTCTCCTTGGAGTGCCACCCCACCAAGTTTTAACAGAGACTATGTGGATGTGAGTCTGGCCATGTGCCAGCTTCAGCTAACCAGCAAAACTCAGCAAAAACAAAACAAAATGGTCTTTATTAGCCTTTAAATACCTGGGGGGTTATTTAAGAAAAAAAAAAAAAGAAAAAAATACAAGGAAATATGATGAATGCTAATGCAATAAATGAAGAAAATATATCATCTTCGATTCCTTTGTGCCTGGATCTATAGTTATTTTAGAAGGAGATTGGGTTATGAGGTAAGTTTCATCTATTCCTAATAAAAGAAGAATGCTACATTTTTTTGACAACTGTTCTTCAATAAGCCACCTGGACAGTTCTAGTAGCAGGTAATAAAAATGAAATATGATAGGATTTCCAAGAAGATCCCAGCAGTTAACAAGGGAAACGATTTCATAGCTCTTCCCTAGGAGGCACCCAGATTTCCCAGGGATAACAAGAAAGCTTTAATCAGTCCGTTCACAAGGTGTGGAGGGGAGGTTTGCAAGATGTGGCTTTGTAACTGTCCTAGCTGTAGCTGTTACTTAAGAAGCAGCAAAGTGAAATCAGAGCACTTGGCTGGATGAAAGCCAGGCCCGTACAGCTCAGCAGCAGTGGGGTGTGCTGGGGATCAGGGAAGGAAAGACAGGCTGAGTTTTATTAGGAGCACCACAGGCTCAGCAGCTGCAGCTGTCCTGGGTCCAATTCTTATTTTACCTATATAGACAAACATGATTTTAGCTCTCCTTGACCTATGGACTGAGCCTGGCTGCAGACCCACACTGTTCCAAAGGCAGCCTGGTCTTGCACAGCCCTAACTCCCAGTTTGTTCTCCCCAAATTTACATTTACAGGGCCTTTACTGGATGTCATGGAAGCTGGCTGTGAAGAAGGAGCATACTTGAGATGCTTAAATAAATCATCCTTCTATGTTTTAACTCTACATTAGGGCACAAAGTGAATAAAATGCATCAAATCTGATATTTCTTCTCCTGGGCCAGCTTCTGTTGGCCTCAGCATTTTGTGCGAGTTTCTCCTTTTAAAGCACATTTCCCCATCCTAACAGAGCTGCCCCACCACTAAACCCCCAGCACAACAAGACTGCACAGGAGCCAGGGGGACCCTTCTTTGCTGCTGTCTGCAGCCAACAGAGCAGGAATGCTGGAGAAAGTGGAGTGACTGCAATGCATAAATCATAGGGACAATGTTGTCTCTCTTCCCTTTGCACAGATCCCATATATCACCATGACTCAGTGTAGATCTCCCAGTGGGGACTAATTCCAACTTTTAATGCACTTTCCATCTGATTCCTCTGTGACAACAGATGGGTCTCTGTCCTGAGATATTGCATTTTGCAAACAATATATTAAGCACCTCTGTGTTTCAGTACAATTTGGTTTGGGGACCCACTACTAATCCCATTTCAGTGGTTTGAATTGTGCATTTTACCACTGACAAGACAAAACCCCTCCAGTCCAATGGCCATCATCTCTTCTCCTCCCCTCTACTTTTTCTGGTTATTTCACCAATCTTCCTGGATGTGATAAATCGTGTAAATTTAATTTAGAGATTATACCCCTGGCTTTAGAGGCAGACAAGGTTAGCTCTCTGCTTGCAGCCTGTAGCCCACTAATCTTATAAAATTCCTCCATTCCCACTTGGCTGGAACTGCTGTTGGGGAGTGGAGGGAGAGCAATATCTATTCTATGAAGTGTTTTGGATTTTTGTTGGACACTTGCAGATGGCATCTTGGCCACTGTCCAAACTCATACTGCTGCATAAGGATAAATCCTGAAGGTTTTCACAAGCCCACTGTATTACAAGCTTTATCTCAGCAGTATGAAGTTGGTGCTACCATTTCCAAACTCTTCCAGTCTCTCCAATCAGTTATAAATTTCATTCAGCTACATTTTTCCAAAGACTGAGCAACTCCTAAGTCCAGAGCACCTCCTCCCTGTGCATGTTTGCTGCCTCCTTTCTGTACGACTGGAGGCCAACACTCCTTCCTTAAAAACTATCAGATCTGCAGAGGACATGCAAGAAATAGGGGAATTCCTGATATCTACAAAAAAAGCATCATTCTTTGCCTTTCAGGATTTTTTGGCCCCAGGCTGAGGGTTACAAGCACTGACCAAGCCCGTTATCCATGCAATCTTTCCTTCATCTATAAATTCCCTTTCTAAGGAAACGTGTAGCACCAGCAGGGGAATAAAATCAGTTGTTTCATGGGCATCCCAGGCGGTTGTCTTTCATCTCCTTTCCTAATATTTCTGTTAGGCTTGGATAGCTTTTATTGGCTTTTTTTCTCTTTGCTCTTTCTCACGCCTGAGCAGCTCTTGGCTTTGGCAGGCACAGAAACAGCAGTTTTATGACATGCATTTTTTAATGTATCAAAACATGTTCTTTTGATCCATTTTTCAAAAGGCAAGCTCTGTTCAGCAAAGGTTAATAAGCTTCCCACACCAGCTGGATGTAAGAGAGGTCCAGATGTTGCTGAGAATCAAAACTCTCATCTTTAGAAGTCAGCAGGGCAAAACCAGAACCTTCTCTGGTACTGCCTAAGCCACAAGAAATTGCTGGACCCTCGAAGAGCTGGCCCAGAGTGTTCTTTAGTGCTGACATTTTGGCACATCTGAGAGAAGTTTAAATGAGGTTATGACAGTTATATGAGCTCCACAGCAGCTGCCCAGACAATTCACACTGGCAGGTTTCTGCAGCTCTGAGCATCACATACAGGGAACGTGCTGGAAGCAAACACCTCGGACAACCAGCACATCACACCCTCCTCGTGTAGCAACTCGGTATTTGCACATCCAGTGCTAAAAAGAAATTGTTTCCAGCCCAAAGCCTGTGTTCTCTTTGCTGGGTGGCCCTTATGAAAACCACAAGGTAGGGAAGGAACCAGAGTTTCAGCCAGCACTGAGCCCCAGCATCCTCCAGGTGCTGTGGCAGGGCAGTACCCACTGCAGCTTTGCCAGGACAGCTGAGGTGATCTGCAAGCATGTGGCAAGTTATCCTTGGCCTTTCACACAAACCAAGTCATGTTATAAATCATTTTACTCAAATTACTTAGAGCTTTAGTCCATATTGAAGTCAGGCATCTCAGCTTGTTCCAAACTTTACAGACAAGAAGCTAAAAATTATTTTATTTTACTTCTTTCCCTTCAATTCAATGAAGAAAATGCTGAATGCACAAAATACATTTTGTTTTACTACTCCCAAAGTGGATTTCTCTGGGGTGTGCCTATCTACTTGCATAGGTATTATGACTTTTTAAAGAATTATTTGAATGTGAAAGGCAGGAGACTTACCAGACAGAACTGGAGGGAGCATCCCATGGATGGGAGAAGGCTGGGATTGGAGGCAGTAGATAATTTGGCAAATTTTGCACCTTGGTAGATTGCAGAGGAGCACCCAAGGAAATCAGGTCAAGAGCATCAGTAAGAAAAGAAGGATAGAGGGCCTGGAAAGCAAGAGGAGGACATTTCCATTTAAATAACCACAGAGCAGATAGGACCTGAACAAATATATTAAACTTAGTCAGAGTTTTAAACCAAGCCCAGAACACCAGTTTAGAAACATAGAATTGTTCATGTTGGAAAAGATCTTAAATATCCTCAAGTCCAACTCTTAACCCAGTACTGCTAAGCCAGCCACTGAAACATCTCCCTAAGCATCACATCTCCATGTCTTTTAAACACTCCAAGGATGGCGACGCCACAGCAGCCACGACTTCCTTCAGCAGCCAGTGCATGACAAAGACAGCTCCTGGCATCTTCTCAGTGCACAGGGCACAGCACCACTGATCCAGATGCTCCCTGAACTAGGCTAATCCCAGATTTGTTTCAGAAAAGTTTTATTGATGTTACAGTTCATTTATTAACGTGGGAAGGATGATGCAAAAATCCCAAAGCCAGGAGAGACTGGACAGAAAAGGGTGCATGACTAGCCAAGCTTGCCCAGAAATCAACACGACCATTTTTATCACAGCACATCACATTTTTCATGGTAGTGATCAGAAATAAGTCAGTTTTACAGCAGGATTGCTCTCAGCTTCTGCTTTTTCAGAGCAGCTGATGTCTCACAGAATCCTCTGGAAAACCACTCAGCCTTGCAGCCGTCCCTGCTTCTCCTGCCTCCCACACTCCTCCCTTTTCCAGGAGGGAAAGTCACGGAGTAGAGTTGTGTTCTCTTCCCTGGAGTTCACACTCAGCCCCCCAGCAGCTGCAGTGGTGGCACCACGAGGGAAGCTGAGCAACAGCTGGAAGGTGGCATCAGACTGGAAGGACAGGGCTGGGAGAGCCCCGGGCTCAGGAGGGGACACCAGGATTCTCTCATGATGACTCTGTTGTTGTACAAGGAAAATAATAGCTCTTCTCCTAACATTGAGTCTTTCTGTTGGCTTCAGTGTCAATAAAATCAGAAAAATGTTTAGAATCAAACCAAACCAGCCCTGCTGCAAAACCCTATGTTTTCTAATGCAGAGGAGAAATCAAAGGAAAGGTTTCTACAAAGAAAATAACAGAAAACCATGAAGCCATCCTTTACAAAAACATTGAAAATAAGAAAATTAATCATATTAAACATCAAAAATTACTTTTAGATCTCCCACAGAGAGGCTACCGTGACATCAGCTCTGAAGATATCAACAAAGCAAAGTTAGTGTTATCCTGCCACGTTGGATTCCAAGGAATACTTGCACAGACTGATACAGAAGGAGGGGGAATAACATAAGCAAAAAATAAATTCCTTACCTAAAAGCCACTTCATATAAAAATATCATCTTAAAACTAACCTATATTAATTTTTAAGTGGAATTTTAAATAGATAACTTTAAAAATCTGGCATAAGTCTGCCTCCTTCCAGATCAGCATTTAGAGACTTTCACCTATGGAAAAGGTTCCATTTTGAGGAGCAGCCCTGACACCAATGAAGCTGAATAAGGATAAATTTAAATTAGCCAGAAAAGCATCATGCTTAAATGAGAACAAGGTCCTCCCAGGAGGTGGTGTTTAACAGCCTCTGTGATTGCTGCAGGAAGGACACTGCTCTGCATTGTTCTCTATAGGAAAGTCAATAGCCTGGAGAAAGATAAATTATTGTTCATCACATCTAGAAAAGCTTTTATTAAAAAAAAAAATCATATTCACAGGTCATTTGAGGGCAAGCTGATAGTTTTAATTTCCCCTCTAGCTCATTTCCAATTTTTGGGAAAGCTGGTAAGAGAACAGAATTGTCTGTGTGGATGCATGAAAGTCACAGAGCAAAGGAAAGGGAGGAGCAGCTCTCCCACACCATGTCTTGAAACCACTCAGCGTTCCCAAAAACTGCCTCAGGCAGAACCCTGAACACAGCCACAGCTCCTCCACGGATGGGAACAGAGCCTGTTTTAGGGCAAAACCCTCACAAGCCATGCTCACTTTAGAACTGGGTGCCCAGTGATTCACAGAAAGCAGCAGGTGAAGGTGCCAATCCTTCATGCTACTCATCCCTTCCCAAGAGCTCCCTGTGACCTTTAATTCCCCTCCAAAGAGGCACCAGAGGGTTTGTTTTGCCAGACCTCTCCCAGCACAGCAGTTTCCCCTGAGCCTGAAACCCTCCTGGGAACCAAGAGTGATGCTCTGGACCAGGGGCAGGAGAGCACAAAGAGACAAAGAGCCAGGCAGGGGCTCAGTACAACACCAACAAGCACAAAAGCTATATAAAGAAGAAATCACCTGTATTTTGATTATATTTTTCACCCAAACTTTCTGGATTTAATTATTTGTTCCATTACAGGGTGCACTGTCCAGGTACAAGCTCCCTGGAGAAGAACTTGTACTGTTAAGATGCTCAATTCTATATGAGGTTATTTAGAAGCCAGTAATTGTCACCCCAATCTCTTTTGTATCCTAAACAAAAACAGTGATGTAAGAAAACAGTGCTGAAGGTGCCTGCAAATGTTTTATTCACAGGAAAAACAAATTGCTGTAGGAAATGAGGGACAAACATGCATATATAGCAAAACCTAGCTCAGAGCTGTGATAATTCTAAAAGCTACTAATTACCTGAACACTCAAAAAAATCCATTTCTATAGTGGCTTCTGCCCTTATGAACAGTCACAAATTGAACCTCAAAGTTTAATAGAGGAGAAAATTTTACGTATTTTTGTTTCTATATCACAGAGCAGTGAAATGCTCACCATCTTTTCTTGGTATTCCCTCCCTTCCTTCCTCTCCAGACAACATGGTGAGGGGACAGGAAAACCCTTCCCAGGGAGGCTGTGCCTCTGGATCAGTGCAGAATCAGTGAGGCAGAGACGTGATGCACTGAGCACAACCAGGAGTCCCACAGGGGAGCACTGAAAGGGACACAGATGCCAGGGATAAAGCTCTGCATATGGGAACACACAGAAATTCTGCACAGGGCAATAAATACGAGGCATTCTCTGCCCTGGAACACCCTGGAGACTCAGTGTCTCAGGAAGAACATGTCCTGTTTCTGTTTTTCATGTTGGATAACCTGTGAGCAGTTCTGAGAACATGATTACCCGGATCCTGATTTTCTGTGTGAGACTCCATGAGTGGTATTTGCCTCCCAGCCAGGGCGCTGCTTTGGAGTTCTTCTGCTTAAACAGAGTAAGGAGTAAATATTTTCATTGAAATTATTGTATATTCTCTCTGTGTGTGTGAGTCCTCACCTCCAGGTTCCCTAACAGCCTCCCAGAAGGAATGCTGCATCTGTGGCAGCAACACCACATCTCTGTGCAGGCAAGAACCAATTCCTACACTGTTAACTCCTGAGGCAGGATAATCCTCACAAACTCCATTTTTCTCCACTCTGGGAGAAATTCATTTGGCTGGCCTTTTCCTAGCAAATATTTAGCATCCCCTGTGCACATATTTAGAAAGAATTCCTCCCAAATCACTCAACCAAAAGTGATTTCCCCCAAGGAGGGTGAGAGAACAAACACGTGCCAGCTGTGATCCGCGCTGTTCACTGCGCTCCTGGAAGGCACTCGGGCACCACAGAGCTGCAAGCAGCACAGGAATCGAGCTGGGACACAATTACCCATCCACATTAAATTAATTTTCACTCTCTTTTCCTATCAGGCTCACTGCTGCAAAAACAGGAGGGATGAGGTTCCACGGAGGTGGTTTACAAGGTGAGAGAGGATGGCAGAACAAGGTAAAGAGAAGTACTAAAAAGCAGTTTTGTTGTTGAATGTTCATCTTTGCTCTCTTTCAGAACTTTTGTATAGCGTTGGCTTTGTAGGAGAATTTCTGGTTATGGCTGTGAAAATATTCCTGCTACTTTTTTGTATCTACTTTGTGAGAGTTCAGCTAGTCTCAGAAAACATTGACTGCAGTTTTTTCATCTCAACAGATTGACTGTGGGAAAGCTATTGACACAAAACTGATTTCTATGTTTCAGTAATATTACATCAATTTAAATGAAAAAACCCCACTGGATCTTTTGGTTATTTGTACTTCTGGATTTTTTATTTTTATTTTATCTTGGAATGCTGACAGTTCACTTCCATTTTTCTTTTTGCACATGGACATATTGTGAATTCAATCACAAATAAAATTTTTGTTGGAGATGATGATTTGGGAAAAATCAGGAGGTTGGATTAAAATATTGGCTTATTGTAAATCAAAATTACAATGAAACAAATTCAGAATTGGAAACAGAGTGGATTAATACAGAAATAGTAAGAAAACCTTGTTAAAATATTATAAATTCAAAATGTCTAATTTACTACAGGAAAGAATTTCAGAAGTTATTTCATAGGAATAAAGGAGAAAATAATGAAATGTCAACACTCCCTATGAAAATGACATACTGAAATCATCCATCTCTCCCTTAACACATGATAACAAGGGAGGGAAGATGCACGTTAGGGCACTGGCCTGGAATATAGAATATTTCTGTTCAAAGTCCTAAATGGACAGAGATTTCTGGTTAGACTGTTGGCTTTTCTGTGTATCAGTCACCAAAGTGGTTAAATGCAGTAGGAAAACACCCCAACTATTCACTGACACAGTTGCTATGATAATAAAGTGGCATATAAATTCCTTGGATTTAAGCCAGCTCCTTCTAGCCACTCTCACCTGCTCAAACAGCACAATGTTTACTGATAATAATTACAGGCTGAGATTGCCTGAGCTGCCTGGGGGATTTGGGTGCCCAGGGGAACTGGCAGCTCTGAAGATCTCCACCCATGGGTTTTCCTGCTCCTCTGATTGATTTCTGCCACCACCCCAGCAGCAATGCAGGTGCAGGCATGCAGAACAGCAGGAATATTTACAGTGACAACATCTTCATGCCAGCGAGGCAGGGAATCCCGTTGGGCCAGAGGCTTTACAAGCAGCACTAAATAAAGAACATCCTGTACAAAACAGGCCCTCTGCAGTTCTGGGACACACCTTTGAGTAGGGACAATTCCCCAGCACCACTGTGCAGAAAATCTGACGTTTGAA